GTCTGGTAAGCATAGGAGCTCGTTTTCCCGGTATAGCAAGGCTGCAAAAGTCGTGGCAGCCATTTTGTTTGGGGGTGAATCCTACTTAGTAACGCTACCGCGTTACTAATAGCCTTGGGTATTTTTCAGATTTTTGGCGTTTTCTTAAAATGGCTGTAACTTGAAAAATTAAATTCGGAATCACCTCAAACTTTCTACGCAGCATAAGAACATCAATATGTATCAGAAAATGTAATAAAAAATTGGGGTGATTTTGGAGCCATTTTTTGAAAAAAACCTTGGGTATTTTTCAAATTTGGGGCGTTTTCTAAAAATGGCTGTAACTTGAAAAATTAAAGTCGGAATCACCTCAAACTTTCTATGCAGCATAAGAACATCAATATGTATCAGAAAATGTAATGAAAAATTGGGATGATTTTGGAGCCATTTTTTGAAAAAAAAACCATGGACTATAGCCTTGGGTATTTTTCAAATTTGGGGCGTTTTCTAAAAATGGCTGTAACTTGAAAAATTGAAGTCTGAATCACCTCAAACTTTCTACACAGCATAAGAATATCAATATGTATCAGAAAATGTAATTAAAAATTTGGGGTGATTTCGGAGCCATTTTCTGAAAAAACCATGGACTATAATAGCCTTGGGTATTTTTCAAATTTGGGGTGTTTTCTAAAAATTGCTGTAACTTGAAAAATTGAAGTAGAAATCACCTCAAACTTTCTACACAGCATAAGTACATCAATATGTATCAGAAAATAAAATAAGAATTTGGGGTGATTTTGGAGCCATTTTTTGAAAAAAAACCATGGGCTATAGCCTTGGGTATTTTTCAAATTTGGGGCGTTTTCTAAAAATGGCTGTAACTTGAAAAATTGAAGTTGAATCACTTCAAACTTTCTACGCTGCATAAGAACATCAATATGTATCAGAAAATGTAATAAAAAATTGGGGTGATTTTGGAGCCATTTTTTGAAAAAAAACCATGGACAAATTTTTCAGATTTTGGCGTTTTCTTAAAATGGCTGTAACTTGAAAAATTAAAGTCGGAATCACCTCAAACTTTCTACACAGCATAAAAACATCAATATGTATCAGAAATTGTAATTGAAAATTTGGGGTAATTTCGGAGCCATTTCTTGGAAAAAACCATGGACTATATAGCCTTGGGTATTTTCAGATTTTGGCATTTTCTTAATGGCTGTAACTTGAAAAATTGAAGTTAGAATCACTTCAAACTTTCTACGCTGCATAAGAACATCAACATGCTTTTTTAATTAACAAAAGGTGGAATGAGGTAAGTTGGACTGGCAGTGATAAAAAGAGGGCAACTTTTTTGTATTGTTCAAGTTATTTGTAAGTTGTGGATCTGCACATAGATATTTGAAGTAGAATGGTATAAAAATTATCCTTGTAGTATTGACCAAAAACCACAATACCTTTGCTTAACTAGATTGACAGGAGATGATGAAAAAAGGTGGTTGAATAAAACGGCCGACTTGCCAATTTTTGACTTTCCTCTTTGACAAGGTTTAGAGCCATGCTTGTGGTACCATTAGAGTCCTCTGGTAAAGATAAGGTCTTCTAAGAAGTCTGGTAAGCATAGGAGCTCGTTTTCCCGGCAGCCATTCTGAAGTAGGGCAAATCTACTTAGTAACGCTACCGCATTACCAATAGTACAGGGACTTTTACCCAATTTTTGAGCAACTTTTTTAAAAATCCAATTTTGATTGGAATCCCCTCAAACTTTCTACGCAACAGGAGTACATGTATATGTATCAGAAAATACATGTACATATCAATTACTATAAACTAACAGTGTATGATGGTATGCTCTTCAACCAGTCATCACATAAATTGAACAATACCATCTGAGGTTCAGTGGCCTTCAATATAAGATTACCTAACTTCTCTACCTAAAGACATGATGACATCATCAACTGTCACATGACTACCACACCTACCTTTAAACAGGCTTGAAACGGCAGCTGCAAATCACTACCTTTTATGAGTATATTAGGAAAATCCAACAAGTGTACCTAAAAATAATAAAATAAATAATTAATAATTAACATAGCCACACCTCTAGTGGATCAAGCATTCCTTTTCTAGTAACAATCTGTTTGGGTTGTTCCTCCACTGGTAGCGACCAAATGAGAGCCGCCACTTCTTCTGCTGTATTCTGTCCCAGATGCTTTTGTCCCAATCAAACTGAAGTATGGATAATCTTTAGAAAGAGCTGGCCAGTACATGGATTAAATATAAAATGGCTCCATTAATCGGCTTTGTCGTTAAATTACCTTTAAATGTCTATTAAAAAGAAATCAACAGATTTAAGTTTGAGTTTAGTATAACTATAATTAATATTTGTGACCATAATTCACAAAAGGTACCTTATGGCGGATTTTAAAATTCATCATTTTATTGAAAAATATCAACCTGTGAGTGCTCTGTTGGACAACCATTGTTTCTAAAAGTTACATA